CCCCAAAACCCCAAAACCCCAAAACCCCAAAACCCCAAAACCCCAAACATTATTTAGGCGATTGAAAAGGGGAAATATTGTAATAACCAGAGACAATTGAAAATTCATAGTACAATTTATCAACTAAATCAAGCAAGATTGGACTAATTCTAGGCAGTTGTAGTATCTCCAAAATTTTAAAAATCTTTCCTATATCGCACATATCAAATTTTAGGATAAACTAGGAAAGTAGGAATAATTTCTATTATTTTCAGAATCATCAAGGCTCAGAGAACAAAATTTCATAAAGAAATATAATCCTTGTTCACCAAACCTGAAAATTTTGTGTTTATTAAGAATAATTATATCAAAGCAGGGGTTTACTCTTGATCAATCTCAATGATCCTATCCAGGTCTTGAGTGTAAAACTTGTCAACACTTATCATGTTTATTTTAGGTAGAGGTTCAAGAGAGATCAGCCTCGACTCAACTGGCTTCGAAATTACTTCTTCCCTAGGAGTAGAGTTCTGAATTGGCATGACAGGGTTTTCTTTTGAAAATAGTCCTTTTAGCTATAAATCACACTATTCAAAGCTCTAATGAACTTTAACTTACTGGAAGGGAAAAACTTGGTTTATTTTTGCTCGCAGGTGGAGGAGTGCTTACAAGACACTTATTATCAGTATCATGCTCCTCCACCACCTTTGCTAACTCCAATTCCTGCATAAGAAATTTCATTCATTCGCTTTCACGTTTGCTATCATTTTTATGATTACTTTTAATTGAATGTCACCGCTTATTCTTATTGTCAGGATTTTCAATCATAATAGAGAATGATCTTAATTTAGATTCATCATTATTTTCTAGAGTCTTGTATCATTTAACAAACTCGGCTTCATCGATTTCAATCTATAGGTATTATTGATAAGCAAAGGAAGGGTTTACCTTGAGAGGTCACTCTCCTCCCTTACTTGTTGCATTTTCTGACTCAGACTTATGTTCAAGGTTCTCTTTACTAACCTTGAGTTCCTCAACTGTACTTTTGCAGGCAGTTTTTGATTGAATTTTAATACTCCCTTGGCTCTGACAACAGCCCATTTATTTTTTATTATAATCAATTTTATTATCATTACCTGGGGTTTTGGGGTTTTGGGGTTTTGGGGTTTTGGGGTTTTGGGGTTTTGGGG